TCTCCGATAACCCAATCTCCAGACACCACCGGATAGCCTCTCGGAGGACTAGAAGCTCAACCACCATGGGATCATCAATCACATCAAATTGGATCCCTAGAGCCAATATGACCATCCCATCTTGGTTCTGAATAATCATTCCACCTGCCGAATGAGACCCACATTTCGTCGCCCCATCCCACATGCAAATTACTGAAGTAGGAGTAGCCAAACTCAATTGAGGCTCACGCGGGACATGAGGATGTACAAAATGGTCCACTCACAAGTTAATTGAGAACCGCTGCAGGGGGAGACGGTTTTAACGTAAACCGCCTTGAGATGGGGCGTTTCCTACTAGGGCGGCCAATCAACCGCGTGCGCACGTGGCGTTTATCGTGACCGCACGTTGAAGGAGCGATCTAACGGTGGACCGCCTGCCAGCTCAGCGATCCGTATTGTGTTATTTCTCAATTAGAAATGTCGGCGATGATGGCTTTAATCTTCAGGTCGGGCTGTTGCTCAATTAGATTCTTGTTAGTCGCAGCAACCACCCTGGATTTCAACTGTCGATGGCCTTGGGACCTTATGGATGATACACATGTGTGAGTGTTCATTGCAAGGGTTATGACCCAATGCCCAACCCTCTTGCTCTTGATGGCCTGTACCCTAGCCTTGCATCCCTCGTGTTGATTTTGGCATCTAACTATGAGTCTCTTCGTGTCAGAATGTGTTGTGCGCAAGTCAAAACTCCAAGTCATTGCTTCAGTTTCAATAGCGTGTCAGACCTCCTTCTTCAATCCAAATTTTTGGCCCTTTGTAAACCCAGTGAGTGGACCCCATACTGGCACCTCCGCCGACTCCATGTCGGCATCAACATACCAATTTTCATTTGGAATGTGGTTGTAGTACAGGATAGGTACCCAGTCACGAGACACCTCATCATCATTTGAGTCTGAGTCATGGCCCGAATCATCAGCACCTTCAAGAGGGTCGAAGTTGTCGGCACTGAGTGGTCCTTCTTCTTCATCCTCAGGATCGCTGATTGGTCCTGGCAGGGTATCTTCCATCTGATCCAGATCATGAAAGGCACCCTCATCATCTCTGTAATGGTAGTTGCGATAACTACCACTGCTTGCATGAAAGTCATACTCGGGTTGGTACTGTTAGCCTTCTTGTTGGTTGTCATGGTACCCTTGGGATTCTTCGAATGATGGAAAGGATTAGGGATGGCAATGGGTCGGGTTGGGTCGGGTTCTGCCAAACCCAAACCCAAACCCATGGGTTTATCTTTGAAAAAAACCCGGGGTAAAACCCACTGGGTTTGAAAAACTCAAACCCAACCCGTTGGGTATCCGCGGGTTCATGGGTACCCACGGGTTTTGTCGTAAAAAATTTACAATTACAAGTTCTTATCAAAATTAAAGTCAAATATCAATCTCTCAATACAAATTATCCATATATAAAACATCATTCTAGAAAATTCAAGCAAATCACAAATTAACTATACAAATTGTGCAACACCAATCTAGAAAACTCAAGAAAATTGAAGCAAATCACAAATTATCCATAACTAACATGTTTAATTGAAAGCTTCTTTCTTTCAATTAAGTTTCTTTACTCTCCACTCCATAACATCAACTTCATTCTACACAATTAAAAAGAAAAAATTAGACATGTCTCCACAAATATAAATAAGATTAGTTGTATAGATTATTAAATATACCGAAAAAATTAATTATATGGATGGGCGGGTACCCACGAGCTGGGTTTACCTAAACCCAAACCCAACCCAACCCGGTAAATAGTGAACGGGTTTAAACCCAAACCCGGCCCAAAACCCGTCAACACGGATTTTACCCGCGTTGACCGGGTTGGGTCGGGTGGGTACCCGTGGGTTCGGGTTTTGTTGCCATCCCTAGAAAGGATTGATAATGGCCTCCACCTCCTTCTTGATAGTCATTGTAGGGATGACGATCATGGTAGCTTTGGTAGGGATGATCTTCATATAATCTCCTTCCACTGTGGATACCAGATGTTTAGCCTTCTCCAGAATGACCTCCAGCGCCTTCAATTGGCTCGGTGTAAACGAACATCTCTGCTTTATGTTATTGGTGATTAAAATTTCAACCATGGAATCTACTTCCGCCTGAGTGGTTATGAGGAATTCATCATGCCACAACGCCCCACCTTGTCTGTTTGGATATCGATACACCATATGATCAACTCTCCTCTTGCCACCCATGCAAGTAACCTCGGTACAAATTCGATGAAGATCTTCAAGGTTCGGTGTAGTAGCAACCTTCACTTTATAAAAATTACCATGGACGTAACGTACTCCATCTCCGGTCTCTACCGTATAACCATTCCACCGTAACCCAAGCGTGAACTTTTGGAATGTCATCTGCAATAAAACAGTAACTTAATTAATACCATCAAATTTGGCAAAGAAAACTCAACATAACAAGTAATACAAAACAAACTTACAACATAACGATTATCGCTATCAGTGTAGTCAAAATCGCGCTTTAAAGCGTAAAATCGTAGATTTTAAGTTTCTAGAGTAGGAAAACGTTTCAAATCACTAATAAAATCGTATTTTACTCAAAATAAGTCAAAAGCGTTAGTAGAATCGTTAAAATCGGATAAAAGCGCGCTTTCATACCGTTTTTATCAGATTCTAAGCAAAGGAGAAAATTGTCTCCGCCAAACAAAAACGACGCCATTTTGATCACTTCGGACAAAAACAAGGGGGGAAAGGGGGTGGATATCAGGCTGAGGTTGCCAAATCACTCTTCCGCAATCCCTAATCCTCCATCTCCAGCACTCCATCACACTCTGCGCGCCGCGCAGCTAGCCTTCCAGTGAAGTATTCGCCGCCGCAACCTTCCAAGTCCGCAACCGCCGTCGCCACAAGTCCGCAACCGCCGTCGCCACCTTCCAGCGAAGCTCTAGCCCGTCGCACTCAATAGCTCCAACGCGGCAGCACACGTCGCACTCGTCGTCGCCTGTAGCCACTCGCTGGCGCAACACCATGTTAGTTTCTATCTCTATCTTGTCCTACCCCGTCGCCACTTCACCTATGACTCCTAAATGGTGGGTAAATGCTTCCCCTTCTCAACTCTTAGTCCACCCTGAACATATAACATAGCAGGTATTTCTAGCTAAATTACAACTCACACATTCTCAATAATTTAAACCAACCCCGCAAAATGAAGGAAACTACTTATAATTTCCAATAGGCGTATAACCTACTGGTTTACCTACGTATGCTACTGCTAAATTATGTATATGTGGTGTTTCTAATTGAACCTTTGAGAAACCAAGGGCATAATGTGAAGCTAATGTTGTGAGAATTTGGTTATTAACTCGTTTGTGGATTACAGTTTATGTTTATGAACTTATTGTTAAGATGTTATGAATTTGCTTTAATTTGGACATGAATTGCATGTATTTATTCACTTGTCTAAACTCCATGCATTCATATTTTACATAATACATGTCGTACTTAACAGATTTTTAACTATTATACATGATGCATAAAAAAACTTACGCTTTTACGGTTTGATTCGCCGCTTTTCGATTTTAACCCTTTTTCGCTTTTAGGTGGAATCGCGCTTTTGACTGCATTGATCACTATAATTCAAAACACAATTTTCTAAAACAAAAACTTAAAGAAGAATAGGAAAAGGAGGTGAAGTGTTGAGTTCTCCAGGGATGCCTTTGATAGGCAAAACCCCATTTGAAAACCGCTCCCCCAAGGCGGTTTGCAAAAGACATGCAACCCCACCCTGCAATCCCCTGCATGGCAGTTTGCTAAAATACTCCGATTTTGAAAACTTCAATCTTTTCCTTTTTTCCTCCATGAAGCTTGCTTCTTGTTTAGTCTTCATTAGGAACAAGATTGATGGCTGAAACCTGCGACAGAGGTTCTTGCAGAAGCTCCTTGTAGAGGTCTGGCCAAACCCTCTACAATTCCAGCTTATCAGCCTCATTCTGCTGGAGGCGGCTCCAGGCTTGCCACCACTGCCCTCGAGGTTGGTCCATGGGCCTCCTCGGCTTGCTTTCCTGCTGCTGTTATTGCGGCGAGGCTCCTCCTCCGGTACACCTGCCTTCTTCTTCCTCGCCCTTACTTTTCCTGTCCTGGGTTAAAATCAAGAGAATCAACACTAAAGTTAGAAAGGTTTGAGATTGCTGGTGAGTTAGCCTCGCCACTTTGTCCTTGATCTGCCTTCCTCTTCTTTAGTGGACTGGCCTGATTTTCAATTGGAGGCTCGCCACTTATGAGCTGCATCGCATACTGGGCCTCGTGGATGATGGACCCAATAGCGCCTCTTTGTGGTGACCTTGGCGGGCTGGGCTGCTCCTTTTCAGTCTCAGCCGGTGCTCCTGGGATCTTCTCAGCTATGGGCCCCGCTAAAGTGAGTTGTTGGCCCATCTTTCCTCCTTCCTTCTCTGGGCTTCTCCTTCCTCTTTCCAGCTGGGTTCTCCTTCGTTGATCACCAGCGATGACTGATGGCCTCTGTTGTAGCCTCCAGGTCAATCGCCAGTCTGCGAGGAGAACTTTCTGCTTCCTTCTCCTCTCCGTACCATTGTCTGCCATCATGCTCCATGAAGTTGCTAGAGGACGCCCCCCTTTGCAGAGTCCTCAACCCAGGTGGGCAGGCCATCCCATTCTGTTGTCAGCGGGGGACAGAGTCAGATGGGCTGTATCTCCAAGTCTGGTGATGAGATTGATTAATGTGGTTGTAGGCCGTGTTGGCTATGTTTGTGAATGCTCCATATTGGGAAGCAGTGAAGGTACTGAAGAAGAAAGGCTCAACCATTGAAGGAAAAAAAAAATTCACTCTTCCTAGAAGTAGTTAAAGAGCTGAATTCAAAGAGGGCAAAGAAGAGGACACTTCTTTGTTGTGGCGTGCGAGTAACTCGCACTCGCAGAAAGATGAACCGTTGCAATACCATCTTTACTCTTCGGTCTTTGCCTCTTTGGCCTTTGCCAAAAAAAATAATCATCGAATTCCATTTTTATAACATTAGAGAACTTCTCGTCTACTCAGGCTCAGCAAGTCTCTCGGTTTCATCTCCTTGCAGCAACTCACCAACCAAAACCCCCAATGGCGGCCGCTACCAAAACCTTCTTCAAACCTCCTCTTTCTTCCGTCGCCAAATCCCTAACTCCTTCAATCCTCAACTCCCCGAAACTCAATTACACACCACATTCCTCGGCCAAGCGCCTGCCTTCACTAACCATCAGAGCTTCCGCTGCCGCATTTCCCTCCCCTTCCGACGGCGCATCGCAGGCTAAGTCCCCCGAACAGTTCAGGGTCGAGATCCTCTCCGAATCCCTCCCCTTCATCCAGCGATTCAGGGGCAAAACAATCGTCGTCAAGTACGGCGGCGCCGCCATGAAAGACCCGAAGCTGCAGGCTTCCGTCGTCAGCGATCTCGTCCTCCTCTCCTGCGTCGGCCTCCGCCCCGTCCTCGTCCACGGCGGCGGGCCCGAGATCAACCGCTGGCTCAAGCAGCTCAACATCGAGCCCCTCTTCCACGATGGGCTCCGCGTCACCGACGCCGAGACGATGGAGATCGTCTCCATGGTTCTGGTCGGGAAGGTCAACAAGGATCTGGTCAACCTCATGAACAAAGCCGGCGGCACCGCCGTCGGACTCTCTGGCATGGACGGGCGGCTCCTCATGGCACGGCCCAACCCTAACTCGGCCCAATTGGGCTTCGTGGGCGACGTGGACCGGGTCGACCCGACAATGCTCCACCCGCTCATCAACAACGGTCATATCCCGGTGATCGCCTCGGTGGCGGCGGACGAGGCTGGGCAGTCGTACAACATCAATGCCGACACGGTGGCGGGCGAGCTGGCGGCCGCACTTGGGGCTGAGAAGCTGATCCTGCTCACCGACGTGGCGGGAATACTGGAGTACCGCGATGATCCGAACAGCTTGGTGAAGGAGACGGACATTGCAGGGGTGAAGAAGCTGATTGCGGAGAAGAAGGTCGCCGGAGGGATGATCCCCAAGGTGAATTGCTGCGTCAGGGCGATAGAACAGGGAGTGAGCACGGCGAGCATCATCGACGGCAGAGTTCAGCACTCGCTCCTCCACGAGATCATGTCGGAAGATGGGCTTGGAACCATGATCACTGCCTAATCCGAATACACGTTGTGCGAAACTGTAGTCTGGAAACCAAATGCATTCGTAAAAGAGCTGATATTTTTCAAAGAGAAAAAGTAATGAGAATGCTGCAGAATATGCTTTTCTGTGTTTGGGTCAACATCAGGTTTCACGTGAAAGCTTAAAACTTGTCTTTATGAAATGTAGAGGAAACAGAGAACAATCGACAAGCAAGAGTTAAAATGGAAACAAAAGAGAAAGGACAAAGAGTCTTCTGAGTTTTCAAAGGCGCAATTACAAATATTTAGAAGCGAGGGAAAGAAGCATCATATAGTTTTCCACAAATTACTAACAAACTAGCAAAGCCCCCCAATGGCACCATGATCTGATCACCATCAATCACATGCTTACTATTCTCTCAGCAGAACCACCAAAAGCAAGCACCCACCCTACCCAGTCTAAAATGCTTGTTAACTTCCTCCCCCACCCTATCTGAAATAAACCCAAAAGAAAAGAAAAAACCTGATACATACACATTCATCAAATAGTTCCATACTGCTTCACTTTTTTATGCTTCCTTTCCTTTCCTTTTCTGTTTTTTTCATTTTTGGATTCTCTCCCACTTTTTCAGTTGTGCCCTCATTTTCTTCCTTTTTTACCATCTGTCTTATACCCTGCTGGGTTCAGTCAATTGTCATGGGCTGGGTCATGCAACATCTGAAGCGCGCCTTGCGGACTGTGGTCATGATCTCGGTTTCTGCATCTTCAAGCATCCTGACAATGTCGGCAAATGGAGGACGAACCTCAGGGTTTGTATCCCAGCAGTGGGTCATGATCTCACTCAGCACAGGCAGACAGTCGTTTGGTATGACAGGCCTCACTCCTTTGTTCACCACAGCAAATGCTGCCTGCACTGCTGTCATGTTCTGGAATGGAAGCATTCCAGTTATCAGCTCCCAGAGCACAATGCCGAAGCTGTACACATCCACCTTTTGTGTGTACGGACGATGCTGGATCATCTCCCTGCACAAAAATGATAAATTCAAAACCAACAATCCAAGATCAATCAACTTGCAGATATCCTTTCGTAAAGGGAAAGGGAGACGAGAACCAGCAACATTTCTCGACCGACTACACAAATTTGCAATAGGTGCGGCAACTAACACACAGTACACATGAACTTCAAGCAGCGCTAGTGAACCCATCACCTTCAACTTCTTTTAGAGGGACGCAACAGTCCTCCAACCAACAATCTTGGTCAGAAAGTAGCAAATCGGATATAAAAGTTGGAAAGAACTAGGCACAGTAGACAGCGTAAACCGGTCACCTTCTATCAACTAAAAGTCAGCAGCAGATATTCATTGGAAATATTCTCACATCATTGACATGCAAAAAGATGGGCATAATAGACAGCATGACCATTGCACTGCTAGTTAGTATCTCTAATCCTTATTTTTCGTTTATTTTGAGCAGAACATCTTTCATCTTCGGAAACAATTATATATTAGATAAGCCAAAACAAACAAACCCAGTGCCATAGTTAGAAAATTGATGCAACAGAGATGGAAAATAATTGTCACAGAATAAATATTTTCTTCGAGATACAACTACTGGTCACAGCTGAGAAGTTCACATTACTACTCCAGCAGTGACACTCTTGCATTAGGAAAGACCTTGCATCAATTACATTGTGCATAAGGATTATTACTTTCCTGTGTATCCTAGGAACACCATCCAAATTCTGGCCATGAATTTGATTTTCAACGGCCAAAAAGGGGAAAGGACAAGTTGCAGCAACATATACTCTCTACTGCTAGACTTTTAAGATTTGAAGTTTGAAGAACAGTCAAGACACAGTTAACCAACAAACTAGACCAAAAGGGAACCATTTCACATCTATCTTTCAGATAGCATGTATAGTAGTTTCCATAAGAACACACAGCTATGGCTACATCTTCCAAAACTGGTCAGCAAATCATTATATCTCAAGATTGGAGAAGCTCAAGTCAAACACCCCCAACCCCAAGACACATCTTTTTTTCTTGTTCCCTTCCGCTGCTTATTCTCCTCTCTCCTTATAACTCTGTCTCTAATCTCTATGCAGGCCCTCCTCACTGTCCTTAAAGAATCAATTAATCTCTACATTTAAGCTATGTTTCCTTAACAACATGATGCAGTCAACGAAAGTTCCCTTGTATATCTCTAACAGCATCAGATAAATATAAAACCCATCGTGGTAAGAAAAGCACAAAAAGGAAAGGATGAAAGAAAGAAAGAAAGAAAGGAAAAAAAAGTAATATGCACTTCTGATGTTATAAGGAGTCCATGAATGGTAATCACAATATTTTCAAACCTCAAAAGTGAGATACTCAAATACTTACGGTGCCATCCAACGGTATGTTCCAGTTTCTGGAGTCATCCCCTCAGTCTGCACCTCAATCCTCGCAACGCCAAAATCAGCAATTTTTATAGACCTATCAGCTGCAATGAGAAGATTATCTGACTTAAGATCACGATGTATGAAGCCAAGATGGTGCACGTAGGCCATCCCCCTAGCAACATCCAAGGCCTGCTTAACTGCCAACTTCAGTGGCACTGCCCTATTCTGCCTCCTAGTCAGAAACTGGCGTACCGAACCACCCTTGGCATACTCCGTGACAATACACCAAACCAACGGCTTACGGCATCCGCCAATAAAACGGACAATGTTGGGATGCTTTAAGGTTGCAAGCATCATGACTTCTTGCTGAAACTGCTGTTCCATCACTTGTGCCTTCTCTGGGCTATTCTCTGGCCTCTCCAATATCTTGATTGCAACATCTTCCCCATTATATGTCCCTCTATATAGCTTACCAAAAGCACCTTGAGCAAATGCCATACCCATGTTGAGTTTTCTCAGATCAATAGTCCATTCATCGTAATTGGCCAATCCTTCAGTCGGATATCTAGGATCCATGAGCGCCTGAGCTAAAGCATCATCATTCAGTGCATGGCCAACCCTTCCTGGACGAATCAAACTATGGCCAACTGTTCCACTGTAGTTGTGGCTCACAGGTTTTAAGCCAGGATGACTTAAAATGTGGGTTAGAGAATCATTGGAACCCACACTGCTGTTATCCACTGACATTGACACAGAACCACCAGCATTGCTTGTTTGTAAACTGTCAATGGACATGTTCGTACCCTCGCCCAGTTTATGGTAAAACCCTTGCGTCAAATCATAGTAGTTGTTATCATTGTGATTATTTCCCCCTATAAGGCCGGTAAATTTGGGGGCCTCCATTTTCCCAATCATAGATGTAATTCTTTGACAGAGGATTCAGCCCAAAAAAATCACCCCTTATCCTTAATCCAAACACTCAACCACAGACCCGTTTGCTGAAACGTGTCCTGAGAACAAACAGTTAACAATAATTTGGTTATAATCAGCATCATTAGTCAACAGAAAGAAGAAAAAAGTAACGCTTTCTTCAATCAACTGGACCAAGTAGAATCGAAGTAAACAGCCAAGAATGAAAGTCTTCATCACACCTACTTCCACTCATTTCACCCCAACCCAAGCTTCACATGGAACCAAAATAACTAGCAGATATAACCATCACGCGAGACTAAGGAACCTGCAGTTGGGATAAACCCAATAGAACATAGTATTTTGGTGTCCAAATGTTCTCAAAATCGAGAATTTGGAGACAGCCCGAAAAGGAAACAAAGCAGAAACCAGCAAATTCAAAATCTCAAACCGGGATACCTCTTGATACCAATTAGGAAAAGATGCAATTAAAAAGCAGCCACACTCCTTAAGCTCATTCCCTTCACGAATTCAGTTCACCATCTGCACCCACGCAATCAATCAAGACACAATCAATCGCAGAAAAGCAAAACCCATAGCCAGAACAAGAAACCCACCACATAACCCATCTTTTGGAAACATTTCAACCCTCCCAAACCTATAAATTCGAAGCATTCCCAACCCCAAACTTTCAGTTCTCTCAACGATTCTTCAAATGAAGGAATAAATACCGGTCAACAAAGAGAAAAACCTTGAAAAGAACCTTACGGAGCCCCCAAAACCCACACTACGCAATCATAGATCAGGTAATCGAAGTAGCTCAGCAAACAAAACACGGCACCAAAATAGCATACAGAGCATCCAAATTCTACCGGAAACAGCCGATCGAACCCAAATTAAACTCAGAAGTAGAAAACAAGGAAAAAGACGGCAAGCACGACCGAGGGAGAAAAAGGAAGAATCCGTCAAAGATGCTGACCTGATTGCCCCGCCGAGAAGCTCAGAAGATGAGGAAGAAAGGAACAAAAAGAAACAGGAAAGCAGGCAGAGGTGGATACAGAGAGAGAGAGCGCGCGGAAGCCTGGCCAGGAAACGCACCAATTTTTTTAACGGAAAAAAGAAGGAGGAGGAGAGGGACGCAGTGAAGACGAAGACGAAGACGAAGAAGGAAGAGAAGAGAAGATGAGAGTAGGGAGTCTTCGTTTCTCTCTCTCATTTACTTTCCCAGGCCTCGTTTTTGTTGTGACCGGTTCTCTCCTCAATCGCGGAGGAGCGAGTGCATTTTCACTCGCTGCCGTTTCGCTACATGTGATGGGCCTAGACCTAGGGGCTCCCCGGCGTCTTCTAACAACGCGGGTGAGGGACGTGGACTCTACAGCTTCACCTCGACGCGTCTTAGTTTTATCTTTCGTCCTTTCCTTTTTTTTGTTTTTCGTTTTTCTTCCTCCTTTTTTCCCATTTAAATATTTGGGGATGAACCTTTTTTTCCATTTTCTTGTCTGTTTGTGTTTCTTTTCCGTTTGGTTAAAACAAAACAAATGAAACATGAGAAAATTAAAGAATAAACCACGAGATACTTTTTTTTTTTTTTTCCAGATGCGCTGGCTATTGAAATACGGTAGTTAAAGAAAGTTGTTATTGGTGGGTTAATTCCTAAATATTGTTTTTTTTTTCAAAATACAATAGTATATCCACAATTATTAGGTTTGTGACAAATATATCCACAAATATCGAAATACACGAAATATCTAACAATCGGAAGGTTGTGTGACAAATCTATCCACTTCCGTCTGAAACTATAATGGCGTGTCAGACGGCGTTAAATTGACTAACGGAATGTTGAATCGATGCCATCTCACCTACCACATAAGCCAAAAAGCAACCAAACTTTACACGTAGACGCCAAATAGCCTAGTTGAATAAAGGCAAAATAAAATTAGGTTGCTTTTTGGCTTATGTGGCAGGTGAGATGGCATCGATTCAACATTTCGTTAGTCAATTTAACGCCGTCTGACACGCCGTTATAGTTTCAGACGAAAGTTGATAGATTTGTCATACAACCTTCCGATTTTTGGATATTTCGTGTATTTCGATAGTTGTGGATATATTTGTCACAAACCTGATAGTTGTGGATATACAACTGTATTTTTCCTAAAAACAATTTCTCTTTTAATCCACGTCATTTAGTGGGGTCAGAAACACGCCAACTAAGCATCCACCGTGTGTCCAGTCATCAAGTTAACTGACGGAGTGGAAGAAAATGGATATTTCATGTATTTCGATAGTTATGGATATATTTGTCACAAACCTGATAGTTGTGGATATACAACTGTATTTTGCCTTTTTTTCAATTTACCACATATTGCGGTTTAAAAACTATTGACACAAATATTGTGTTTTGTAGAGGGTTAGGAGCGAGCCCTCCTGAGACTCAGACGGACACATTTTTTGATTTTTTTCGACTTACTCGAGCGGTGGCGCCTCAGTCTGGGGCGATTTTGGAGACTACAGCGCTGGCGCCCCAGACTGAGACAATTTCAGGGGCTCCTAAGACTGGGGCGGGTTCGCTACTTTGCCCATCCACTCTAGCCTTATAAAAACCAAACGATTCATTTTAGCTGCTCACACAAAAAAAAATCGATCTCCTGTTAGACAAGAGAAGCTCTGGTTGCTGCAAAGATGGCTAATAGGTAAGAGACACATTTATTTTTTTAATTATATTCTTCAAATGTTGTTATGATTTTGTTTGGTAATTAGTGAGTTTTTTTTATGTAGTGATTTCAGAAGATTTGAATTAGTCGTTCGGTGGAAATCGGAAAAAGTAGAGGATAATTTGGGCCTCCATTTCGTTGGTGGTGGAAGTTTTAAGATGACGGTGCCATACAGGGTGACATATCACAAACTTTTTGAGAATCTAATTTAGAGAATACGGCGTAGAGACGAAGCAATGCAAGATAGTGATGTGATCACAGGTTTCACTTATTGTCTTCCAGAATGGCATAATGGTGTTTTATTTCATTATGCGATGCCTATTGTGGATGATGATAGTTTGAATGCGCTTTGGAATTTTATGGCACAAACCCATTATTGTTTGAGTGCTGAGATACATGCTGAGCTCAGTGAGCATCAGAGTGAAGAGGAAGAAGATGAGACATGGAGCTTGCCATCCGATCATGATGATGATGACGGAGATGGAGAGGAGGAGGATGAAGATGGGGAAGGAGAGCAGCCTAATTATCCTCCCTACTTTTAATTGATGGGTAATGAAGAGGACGACAAATTGTCATTTGCTTATTCATATGGCGTAATTCCAATGCCTATGGTTGGTGATTTTGAAGGAGAATTCTATAAGGAGCAGATATTTCACTCGAAACAAGCTGCACGGGTGGCGATTAAACACCAAGCACTACAATGCAACTTTCAGTATGTCATTGTGGAGTCGTCACAGAAAATTTGGAAGGTTAGATGCTTGAAGCACAAGGAGGACAATTGTCCTTGGATGGTGCGGTTTGGATGTCGAGATGTTGGAGGCGAATGGACTGTGAGAAAGGTCGAGTTGGTGCATTCTTGTAGCTCTACGACTCAACCGACGGATCATCGCCATTTTGATGTCGACGTTATATCTGAGTCCGTGAAACATTTGATACGTGCCCAACCAAATCTGAGTGTTCTAACTGTGCAGACCGAGTTGAAAGATAAGTTTAATATGCAAGTTACGTACAAGAAGGCTTGGTATGTGAAACAAAGAGCATTGGAGAAGTTGCATGGAAATTTGGAAGAATCCTTCGATTATTTGCAAATATTCTTGCCGGTGGTAAAGAGAAAATGCCAACATCGGTGATTGATTGGGTAAGAGTTCCTTCAGCTCGACCAAGTCATTTGATCTTTCAGTGAGTATTCTAGGGTTATGGACCTTGTATAGATGGATTCAAGAATTGTCCAGGAGTCATGGTTGTTGATGGAACATTTCTTACTGGAAAGTATAAAGGAGTGTTACTCATGGCGAGCTCATTTGATGGACGGAAGAAGATTTTTCCAATAGCATTTGCCATCGTGGAGAGCGAGAATACTGAAAGTTGGCCATGGTTCATAAGTCGAGTTCAAGGTTTGACGATCGAAATGATGTCAGCATCATCTCAGATAGACATGAGGGACTCTATCAAGCCATGAGTGACATCAGAAGAGGTTGAGAGTGGAGGTGGTGCATGCGACACTATGCAAGCAATTTGCAAAGAAAGACTAAAAGCAAAATTATGTATAAGCAACTATTTCGAGTCGGTAAGCCTTCTTCATCGTTATTGATATTTATTATTATTTTCATTTAAGAATTGTCATGAATTTATCTAACTCAGGTGGTTATTTATTTTGTTAGCCGGAGAAAAACGCTTGGAGAAGTTCGATCGTCAAGTTGAGCAATTTAAGAAGGTGGTCGATGATAGGAATATTTCTTGTGATAACTGGGTGGACCAACATCAAATTCGTTGGAGCTTAGTACATGATAACTATAATGGTGGGCGTCGATGGTCTATCCTGACATCCAACATGGCAAAGAGCGTCAATAGTGTTTTCAAAGGTATTCGTTCACTTCCTATAGCTTCTCTTGTGCAACATACTTATTGGCGATTGTTGGAGAAATTTGATAAGATGAGGCTGGAGACAGAAGCACAAATCAGAAGTGGTCAATCACAGTACACCACCATCTGCGAAGATCTGATCAAGCCGTGGACACAAAAGACAGTTGGACATTCCGTGACGGGGGTTGATCGACGACAGGGCATCTATGTAGTTCAGACTCCTCCCAACAATTTCAACATGACGGGTGAGAACACACTCACATTACACTTCGACGACAACAATCGGGCGGGATTTTGCACTTGTGGGAAAATTTCAAGGACGTAAAATTCATTGCTCTCATGCCATTGCAGCTTGCAACAGAATGGGGGCTAACCCATATAGGGTTGTAAGTGATATTTGCAAACTTAAAAAAGTGTTGGCTTGTTACGGGACAAGTTTCACTCCTCTTGGTGAACCTAAGGGTTGGAAGAAACATAATGGACATAATCTCCATCCTAATGTTCACATGATTAGGAAGTCGGGAAGGTCACGAATAACAAGAATTCACAACGAGATGGACTGGCCAAGACAGGGTGTATCACAACAAGTGTGTAGCAACTGTAACCAGTCTGAACATAATGCATCAACTTGTGGTGGCCAAGCAAGTGGTAGTGGGAGCCAACAAAGAGGTGGTGGTGGGCAACGACGTGCAAGAGATGTGGTAGAAGAGGAAGTAGTGGTAATAGACGTGGTATATAGTTTTGTGGAACTTTTATCAAATGTAGTAGTTGTTGTCTTTCCAAGTAGTAGTTGTTGTTTTGATGTTGTTGTTGTTTGCAACTTTCGAATTTCTATGCCGAAGTTGTTGTTTTGTTGTTGTTGTCGTTGTGACTTTTATAAAATGTCCTTGTTGTTGTTGTTGTTATTTGATGATTTTTATATTAGATGACTCGCTCGAAACTACATCACAATAAAATACCAACTAGAGCCCAAGTTTTTAAACTCTAGTCGGGTGCAGTATAGGGCAAGTATTTAGATATCGACCCAGGCCGGTCCGTCTACCCCTACTTCGGTTGTTGAAATCATTATCTAGCAACAAAGTTTTGGTTTAAAGGTTTGCTAATTAAAATGAAAGAAAGCAAAGGTAATTGGTTTTGAAAACTCTTTGGTGGAAGGATCACTCGGGCGTCGCTTCCTCCAAACTGCTACCATGATATGTGCATTGAAACGGTTGCTTTGGGCATGATAAGTAAGAACCGCCGAGGGACCACAATCTCAATTGCTAAACCGAGGTAAGCATGATAGGTCGTGTCACTCAACCCTCTCGGTTTAGACAATCGGTAGTTGACTTACTCCCTCACTCAACTCTAAGGTCGGGCGATTTAATTGCAATTAACCGATTTGCTTAACTCAATATTGAGGATTGCCCTAACTTAACCTAGTTTAGATGGCTAATTAGATTGCTAGCACCAACATGCACGAACCTAGGGGTGCTAAGCAAAATTATGCACGATCCTTAGGTTGCTAAGCACCTAAATGCACAAACCTAAGGATGCTAAGCAAAAAACGTGCACAACCCCTAGGTCTCTAAGCAAAAGCATGCAAAATCATGATGAATAATGCATCATTCATTGAATTAAACAA